AATTAGCAATATTAGCAATATCATAAATAAATACAACTGAACAAAATTTCAGGTACAGAAACTGTAATTAAAACACTTCATTCTCTTTAACACCGAACGCACGCAGATCTAAAAATACTGTACATGTGTGTTTTCTTTCTCATCTGTTTACGTAAGACAAAAACGGCTGTGTTTATGATGATATACTGACGTAGTTTTCTGCATATTGGTCGACAAATATGAAAGAAGTCCGTTTCGGCCCGGAACATCCTTTTCTACAGTGGAAATACACGGAACGGTTCGAGAACGGACACAAACCGGGAACCTGTACCGCGACCTCTGTTCTCTGTGCTCGCGCTTGCACTTCGTGTGCGCTGCACGCAAGCAGGGCGCAAGTTCTTTCTGTTCCTGCACTTAAATCGTTTTTAATCACATTAAAATGCAAACGCCGGAATCGTTAAGCAGAATCGAAGTGCACGCGTCTTATCGAATACCCGGTTCTTGGAAATTTGGAACTGGTTCTAAAATGGAACCGGTTTTCGATACCCAACCCTAGTCTTAACTTTTATAAAGAATATCTCTTTGGGTTTGAGACTTTAGTCTTTGCAACTTTAGGGATCTTATCTATTCACGAACTGCTTGAAACACTCCAAAGAGAAAGGAAAACTTGAAATCGCCATATATTAACCCTTTAATTAATCAGTTGAGTGAATCTTTCAATGAGTCACTCACAACACAAACTTGTAGCCACCTACTACATTAAGATGTAACCTGGAGAAGAGCCACTAAACAATTCATTGAACGAATCTGAACAAATCTTTTTTTTCCCTTTTGAACAGATTCGAAAGATTCACGTCACTGATTTGTATCACCATTAGCTGCCATTGCCTTTTAGGTTTAGGATTTAGAACTCACTCAACCTACTCACTCATCTTATCAAATAATAAGAAAAACAGTGAGACTTTACCTACGAAGTCAATCTCCAGGATCCTCTGGAGGTCGCTGATGCTGCGGATCTCGCTGTTAGACAGTCTTTCAATCAGCTCTTGCGGAATTGGTGCTTCCTATGAAAAAAGTAGTTATTCAAACCATGTCAAATTAAAATTACTTACGTTTGTTGTAGTTTGTCATAATATTTCACAATTATTTCTTTTAAAAATCAATAAACACCGTTTTAAAATAAAGCATTTTGACTTTATAACATTAATATCTGAAGACAGGGTGTCATAACCAACATGCAAGAAAACAGAAAAGTCCCATTTAGACCCTCATGTGTCACGTTACGCTGTTGAGGAAGCACGCAGGAGGCACGAGTAAACGAGAACTGTCTTTAATCAAAGAAACTCAGGAGATAATCACCAATAGGAGCTTGAGCCAACACACGTAGAGAATGAGTAAACCTGACAAACACAAACTGAACAGACTAGGACTTTTAAACACAGGACAATCAGGGGAACACAGATGACAACAATGGAACATAATCAAACTAAACGAGGACAGGAACTTGACCAAATAAGGAAACACAGGAAGGACTACGGGGGCAAAACAGGTCCAAAAGTCTGACATTTCGCCCCCTCCCGGAAGGTGCGTCCTTGCACCGTAACAACAACAGAGGGAGGCATAGGTGGGAGCTTGGGAGGAGGCTCAGGAGGAGGACGGACACCCGGGAGAGGGCCGGCAGACAGAGACCAGGGAGGTGACGAAGGAGGGAGGAGCCAGGGAGGAGACTGGAGGGGCCCAGAGCAGGAGGAGCCAAGCAGGACCCAGACCACAGCCATGCGGTGGAGGAGGCAGGAGCGGGTGGGAGTGCAGGCATTTGTGAGCCTCCAGGCATTCAGGGCTAAACTCTGGATCGGGAGCCCCCTCTAGGCTGAACACGGAAACAGGATGGCGCTCAGGAGGAGTGGACACTTGAGGGCGCTTACAAGGAGCGGGCACTGGAGGGCGCTCTGGACTGGAGCCCTCTCCTCTTCGGTTTGGTACTTTTGCCGTGCCATACTCAGCTCACCCTCAGCCGCGGTGCAGGGGGCGGAGCTGCTCTCCGCGCTCACACCATCCGCTCCTTTCTCCCTCGTGGCGGGCATTGTCGCCGGCTCTCGCACCTGGTCTGACGGATTGAGCTCCACATCCGGGGCGATCGGCGAGGGCCAGAAACAGTCTGGTATGGTCCTCGAGCGAGCGCTCCCCCTGCTCCAGCAGGAGGAGGAGGAATTTGGGGCGAAGGAGGGGATCCATAGAAACAACAGGAACAAAAGAAAACACTGAGGAAAAAACGGAAACAACTGTACTTGGTCAGGTCTTCTGTCACGTCACGCTGTTGCGGAAGCACGCAGGAGGCACGAGTAAACGAGAACTGTCTTTAATCAAGGAAACTCAGGAGATAATCCACAATAGGCGCTTGAGCCAACACACGTAGAGAACGAGTAGACCTGACAAACACAAACTGAACAGACTAGGATCGGTGGGCTCGGGCTGATGCTCCGCACCGCGGGGAGATGGTGGACTGGGCACTGGGTCTGGAATGGATCTGACGAGATCATCCACGGGGCAGTATGGCGATCAGTTTCTCGCCATAGTCCACTCCATGAAGGCAGCGAATTCCGCTCGAAGACCATCTTCGGATGACGGCGCTCTGCACGCAGTGTTCAGGCTAGCGTCATAGAACGCGCAGAGCACATCATCCGGGTAGCTGGCAAGTTCGGCGAGGGCCAGAAACAGTCTGGTATGGTCCTCGAGCGAGCACAGTCTTTAATGACGAAAACAGGAGATAATCCACAATAGGCGCTTGAGCCAACACACGTAGAGAACGAGTAGACCTGACAAACACAAACTGAACAGACTAGGACTTTAAAACACAGGGCAATCAAGGGAACACAGGTGACATAAATGGAACATAATCAAACTAAACGAGGACAGGAACATGACCAAATAAGGAAACACAGGAAGGACTACGGGGGCAAAACAGGTCCAAAAGTCTGACATCATGACTCTGTCAAGCATTAGGTTTAAAAATATCTCAAATTTTCATATTTTTGTGAAAATACATGTTTTGTGGATCAAACCCTCTAAATTCTTAATATTCATAACTCAAAAATGCATAAATGCAAAAACAGTTCATTAAAAAACATTTTGAAGTGAATGATTAAGTTCACACGTTTGTTGAAAGTCCAATTAACTTGATGGCTGCACCACTTCATATGTATGTGTAGAAAATTGTAAAAAATAAAAAAAATAATAATAATAAATCGTATGTAGGCTACCATGAGTGCAGATATTAGTTACGTTATTAAACTCTTGCCACGTGTGTTTAAAATATATTTTGGAAAAGTTATATACTTTAGAATATTTAATATTTTAACATATTTTAATATTTTAGAAATATATTTTAAGTTAAAAATAAATTTTAGAACGTCCATCATCTTGGACATTCTCATTGCTCGCATAGCTACAATTACGCGAAATACGATTTTCTGGTTTTAATAACCATTAAAGTTATAATGAAGAACTGCGTAGTGACAGGCCTTACTATACATGCTCGCTCCCTCTTTCTATTTATAAAGGAATCTCTCTCTTCAGTAAAAAAAACATCGTGTTCTTCTTCTATCCTCAATGCATGTGTTCAGATGTTGATCTTACCTCAGCGGCTGCTGAAAGCAGGGAGAAGCAGCAGAAGAGAAAGTGGATCAGCACGGCTCTCATCTCCCCTGTGGTCTAAATGTGTCCCAGCGCAGGCGAAACCTTTCCGACCGGAGCCGCAAAGATGCTCCAACCGGCGAGAAGCCAGGGAACATGCCTTTCCATAGACAAATCTCTCAAAGGATAAACTCTTCAAAAGTCAGAGACGAAAAATCTAAACCCGACTCTATGAAATCAAACGAGCTCCTATTAATAAGTTATTGACGCTGCTAATCCATTAAATTAAAAAAATCAAACCCGCAAACCAGTGCGCAAGATCATTTCTCTCCTCACACACACTAAGAAAACATGAATGAAGCGATCCTTCATCCCTTTACCGCATCAGGATTTTATAGAAAAAACGAATAATAATCTAAATCCAAATGTACACCTATAGGCTCAAAATCGTGGTACAAAAGAGTCCACATTTATCCAAAATAGTCCATTTTTATGCAACGTCCATACTCTGTGTCCTCACATAAAAGTGGTTTGGTTCAAACTTCAGCAGGTCCCGCGGCGTGGAAAGGATCTGACAGTGAATGAACTGGAGCTTCTCTCATCTCCTCATGTTAAACTCGACGAGCCGCGCGCCCCCTCAAAACGAGGTGAATCTCTACAAACCACGAGCCTTTCAAGTTACCGCCTCAGTGAAACTGCAGTGCTGGGGATTTTGATTCATCTCAGTGACTCGAATCTTTTGAATCAGTAAAAAAAAAAGATTCGTTTAGTGAAACTTTTCAGCGGGTTACGTCAGTAGGTGACGACAAGCGACTTCAGTCACTCAAGCAATTTGTTAAAACACCGTATTTGTTCGCAAATTTGTTCAGAAATGACATACCACTAAAAATTTGATATGTTTCACCTTGCTAAACCTATGAAGACAGATTTTTTCCCCCCACATAACTCCACATTTCTTCAAGATTTGTCAAGTGCTGAGGACGTGACATTCTGACAAAAAATGCGTTGCTTGAAAGATAAACCGTCGCGTGTATTAAAATACGATTTTATTTTGCTTTATATTTCTACTCTGGAGGTGAGTTAGCAAGGTGTTTTCCTCTGAGCTATTAGAAAGTTAATAGTTAACACATTTAGTTCATATTCAGACGGTGTTTACATTAGACATGTCCTGTCAGACTAATGTCTAACAGGAGAAATAGGGGCGAGTGAGTTTCAGGGTCTACTGAAGCCAGTGTGTCTCCTCAGATTTAGATGGGTGAGTCCTTAATTAACCCCACTGAGACAGGAAGCACCACAGACTGACAACTATTGAGGAGAAATGATGGGAAAGAAAGCAACAATGAATAGGCTACAAGAAGAAGAAAAAAAGGAGAAGGTGAAGACAGCAGACTACAGGAGGTGAGCAGCACAATGTCCTAGAGTTGAAACAAAAGCTGATAAAATAGACACGACACACACACTACCTTCCGAATTGGGTTTGGTGCGATTTGGTGAGGTAAAAGGAATAATAGAATTCTCTGGAAGTTTCCATTCATTCCACATTCCAAAATATTTGTTTTATAACAATGCATTCTGGTTGTGCGTGTTCTTGTTTCATTTTATAAGTGTGTGTTTGTGTGTATCTGTTTTTCTATTCTGGTGGGGACTTAAACCTGAATACACACAGACTCATGGGGACTCGTGTCACGGTGGGGACCTAAATTGAGGTCCCCACGGGTAAACAAGCTAATAAATCACACAGAATTAAGTTTTTTGAAAATCTAAAAATGCACAAAGTTTCCTGTGAGGGGTAGGTTTAGGGGTAGGGTTGGTGTAGGGCAATAGAAAATACGGTCTGTACAGTAGAAAAACCATTACACCTATGGAGAGTCCCCACAAGGATAGCTGACCAGACGTGTGTGTGTGTGTGTGTGTGTGTGTGTGAGGCAAGCATGAGTTGCATTCCTGACCCTGACTTTAGCCGTAAGATGGAGAGGAATGTGTGAGGACCCACGCACACACAAAGTTTCAGCAGGTGAAGAATCTGGAAATCCAGTGTCTATGTAGTTCATGACTGACATCTCAATGAAGACAGAGGAGGGAAGGGGTACGAGGTCAGAAGAGCTGATCCGAAAGGGCTGAAATGGAAAGACGTTTCGATATGGATGGCTATCAAGTGACAGTTCGATATGGAGGAAAAAGGAAAAGCAAATGAGCGGACATTTGTTATGGTTGTGGTAAAAATAGGCAGAGAAAAAAGGGACTATGGGAGTTGAAGTCCCCTGAGATCCCGCCTTGCCAAAGAGAATGAGTCACTGCGCAACCACATCTACCAGTAATATGTGTGGGAAACCTCCATGGAGCACAGAGATGCATACTTGTACCTTTTCTGTAAGACGGACACACTTGGACACATGGACACCCACACATACCTCGAGCACCGGCGGTCCATGCCAAGCTGGGATTCCTGCCAAAACCAAAAACCTTTGCTCTCCTTCCCATCCGTCCAAGCATGAGAATAATAAGTTGAACTTCTATCGTGTACAAACACTGCACACTTGCTAGCTGGTCAAGCTCTTGACTTGTGGTACTTTTAAGGAATAGTTCGAAAATGAAAACTCTGTCATCATTTATTCACTCTGATGTTATTCCAAACCCAACTTTATGTCTTCCTTGGAATGCAAAAGGAGAATTCAAAGCATTTTTAAAGCATTATACTTTATGTAACTTTATAATAATAACATATATGTAAAACTTTTGTCCGACAAATAAAAGTTAAAATGCGTCTGAAATGTAATACTTCCCTACATAGTATGTGATAAACGGTACACTAAAGAGTAGTATGACCAAATTCATAGTATTCAAAGAATAGGAGACGAAAAGTACACAGATGATCTACTACTTCCAATGAGATTTTGAAGTGCGTATTTTATGGGCACTGTTTTATCCCAAGAGGCCACAGGAAAGGATTTATGAATGGCAGTGAAGTGAAGCAACTGACGCTGGTAGGTCACATGACAGTAACAACATGGCATCCAAATTTCCTTCATGCTATTTATATTCATACTACATAGTACATACTTTTCTAACGTCGTAATGTTAGTTCAAATTTGAATGTAGTACCTACTCAGACAGTACGCAGTTTCGGACACATTATGTGTGGGGCAACCAACATACAGAGGCCATGTTTCATCATGTGACAAGAAAACCAAACATAGAGGACCAATTTAGAAACTCATGACTATGTGTTAATCGTTACATTTTTTTTTTTTTACCAAAACATGCACTTTATTCAGGTCACATGGACTGACCCTAAGAAAACATGTTGATATTCATGACTCAAAAATTTAACATTTTTAGACTTGATGGTTACACCACTTGACATTTTTGCATCAAAATATAAAGTATTTTTAGAAAATGTTCTGAAATTAAAAAAAAAAAAACTAGTGTACTACAAGTTTTCTGAAGCTATTTAACACAAAATTTTAGTCAATATGACATATCACGACATGCTAAAAAAAAAAAGATATTGTGGCCACGAATCAAGAATTTGTTTCCACGACTTATTAATTTATGGCCATTTAGTTAAACTGTGGCAACGTTTTATTAATTTATTCCCACAACTTATTAAATTGTTCCCTCGTTTTAGGTCAACTGTGGCCACGTTGCACTAATTAATTCTTAATTTGTGGCCATAATATCTTGTCAACCTGATTTCACAGGAAAACTTAACTATTTCACAAGGCGGCATTTCATGTGAATTTGTGTGAATCGTATGAAAACATACAATTTTTTGAAAAAAGCATGAAGGTCCATCCCTGAACATCAATAGGACGTAAGCAGATCATATGAAAATGTACGAATGAGATTGTACGAATTTATATGAATTGGCCAACAATTTGCTAAAATTTAAAAGTTACGAATTAATTGCCATGACATTGTGTTGCATCTAGTTTTTCCCTGAATGTCATGCGCTCTTTACAAATACTATTTGTTCTCATGTGTCTCATATTCAAACACATCATTCCAACTTTGAAAATGTGGAGGCATGAATAAGAATGAAGAATTTGGTGTCCCAAAGTTTTGGCTCTTTTGAAAGTAAGTGAAAGTTGAGCTAGTGAGAAATAACGTGTCTTGAAATGCCATGCAGCATCGGTGCCAGAACAGTGGGACCAAAATATGTTCATCTGTAATGGAGCTTGGCAGTGCAATGACAGCATCAATTATTTTGGTTTGCTCTGCAGCACTCATGAGTGGACAAAAAATATATAAATGTAAGTACAAAAGTATTATTTATAGTGGAGGAAAAAACCCTCTGCTCTGTTTCTCCTCCGCCGTCTCTCTCAATTTGTGCACTGTTCATCATCCCCAGTGTCTCTGGCTCCTGCAGAGCTTTAGTGTGTCCGGAGGAATTAACAGACCAAGACCTCTGCCACCAGAGACAAGCCCTCAAGCCCTCACAAGAATAACAGTGTTGCAATGCTTGAGCTAGGAGAAAAAAATTAAGGGAAATTCCCAGGAGCAGTCCAGACAGTTTACACAAAAAGACACAGACTAGACTTCTCTCACCATCCTCCAATTACTGGCTTTACGTATTTTCTTATCATACACTGTGTGTGTTTGTGTTTGTACATGTCTCATGTCATCCCTGTAAGCCATTTAATAACGAGACCCTAAGATGAAAGAAGGAAAGAAAGGTGTGGTTGAGCATGTTTGTTGTACCTGGAAGGAGTGTTCTTTGCAGTGTGTGTAAGTCGTATCAAAAATGTCTTTACAAAATATTAACTAGCGTCCTTGCTTCTCCCTCAGTGTTGGAGAGTAGCTGTATGTAGTGGCGCTGCTTATCTTTTTAGTAGCCTGACATTAGCTCAGCTATTCTCAAAATAGTGTTGATTTTCCTGTAACAAGCCATTTTTTCCCAACATGTTGTGGTGTAGCATGACAAAACTCACCATTGCTGTTATGCTTTATGTCACTGTGCATTATGCTAACAGCCTTACAGCTAAGCAAGACTTCCAAATGCCAACTTCCAATCCAAATGTACCTAATTTACTTTCTTAATAGATGTTCCTGGTTTAATTCAAAAAATAAGTTTGTAATGTTTCAGCAAAATGTAGCATCTTGCTAATAATGGTAACATTAGCAAAATGGTTACCTAGACTACCACTCCGTTTAACAAACTCACATTCAGTTACTATTCTAGTATGTAACTCTGACTTTTTACGATTTAATAAGTTCTCAGTGGATAAAATTTAGTCAGAAATGTTTGTTTTAGTAAAAAAAATTTTTAGTTAGAAATTATGGAAGTGGAAAATTGGTTACATAAAGAACTTCACATTGACTCAAAATATCTCTTAACATTTCCTCTCTCTCTCAAACGATGTTATTAATGGGGGGAAAAATTGTTAACTGAAACAAACCTTTAGTTTAAAAAACTAAATTGTTAATTTTAGTTTAAAATAGAGCTTTAAAAAAATATTAAAAAAGACAAAAACCATAGTAAAAATGACAAAAAATGTTATAAATAATATTTAAAAAATAAATATTAAAAAAAGGCTGTAATAGTATATAAATAAGACAAAAAATGATATTGTAATCAAGTAGTCATAGTCATAGACAAGTAAAAGGTAAATATACAAATATACAATGTAAATTCAATGTAAATATACAATTTCACAGAAAAATTCAATAAAATAAAAATTACCTATTAATTTT